GGATCCAATATATATATATATATATTAAATAAAGTATTTTAATTTTTGATAATATGAGACCGCACAGATCTCATATATTTGATGGTTTATATAATTGAGCTTGATATTATGAGTAATGATTCATCTCAAAAGATGAGAATGTCACTCGATAATAGTCTCAATTATTCAAGCCAAGAAATTTATGGTATTTATTTGGTCTGTAAAATTTTAAATGGATCATTCCCCTACCAAATATAAAGATTAGATGATGTTTAGATTATCTGAGTTATTAGTTCTCCTATAGGTGCATGCTCCTATAGTTAATTACTTCTTAAGCAGCCGAAGTCATTTAAGAAAACTATTGATTATGATCGGGGTTTAACTTCAAAATTTCAAAGTTTAGTTTTTATGATTATTTATAAAAAAATTAAGTGGGAATGACTCGATGTGGAACAGTTGTTTAGGAAATCAAATAAGCGAAATATTTTGAGGAGAACCTCAATACTTCCGAAACTATCCTGCAATTTTGCTTTACATTCCCAAAGTGATATTATATAATGTTCACTCCTGTCATTTTATTTATTGATTAGGGCTTACATTTGCATGACATACGACCATGAAAATAGCCTAAGAAGAATATGAGAGAATTTACATCTTACCGAATGCATAGCCTCGAGTTGCTAAAATGAGTTATGACTTCTAATGCATTAATTACAATCATACGAAAGCTTAAAAGATTGTGTGAGGATTTACATCGTGCTAGATGAACAATCTCGGCATCCTAAAATCATGTGTTGTTTAAGTCTAGAAAAAATTTAGTTGAGGATCATTCTTTACTTTATGTTTTGGTCTTGATCGTTCCCTAAAGGTTGTCCACTGCTCGATCACGCCGTCACCTTATTCTATGAAGAGAGAGGGGGAGATAGAAACCATACCTCGAGTAACATATCCTAGGTTCTTTATTTTAGTGTTTTGTTTTTAGCACGTATACTTCAGTTGGTGATTTATTGTTGCTATTATTGAGTCAAGGATGTGTTCTATGTTCACTACCTTAGGTTCATTTCCACATGTTAGAAATGTAATGAATAGCAAAAGAATAAGCATAAACAAGACATGTACAATAAAGTGCAGTAAAAGAGAAAGTGGCGATACGTACCTGCCGCCTTTGATGAAATTTTCAAAAAAATTCATACATTCGAGAATTAAACAAAAATTAAAACTTTTAAAAATTAAACATGAGATATATTAAGGGCATGTTTGGGGTAGCTTAAATGTGCGGCGGCGTTTTTAAAAACGCCACCCTAGTGTTTGGATATCGCGTTTTACAGGGGTTTTTGGAAATAGCTTTTTTATATTATATTACACGTGGATCACGGGTATATCCCCGCGATCCGCGTTTGGGCTCCATTTTTTACTCCGCTACCCTCCTAAGCCCGCAGCCGACCTTCCTTCGAACATTTTGCGTCGATCTCACCTCCGTCGCTCTGCAGGTAACAAAACTCTTTCCTCGCTCGGCTCCTCCCTCCTTTCCCTCATTTCGCCGAGAGATCTAAGATGTTGGCAAGAAATTTCACTCGATCCATATGTTTGGAAGTGTTTGGTGGCTAAAACCTAGATCTGTTCTGAATATGCAAGTAGTGCTGGTAAAAATATAGATCCACTGTTTTTGT